AGGGTAGAGGTGTATAAGTAAGGCTTATATCGATATTGCCAGTAAGAGCTTCATTAGAAGAATGCTACCAAGGTAGCAAAGTCCAGCACTCACAGGTGGGCAGCGCCAGTATCAAGGGAGGACTCACAACCATGTTAATTCTGCTCACATGTGTGTGGGCAGAACGGCCAGTCCAATACTGTGGGCCAGGACACAGTCCGGGGTGGGCCGCCCGTTTGCCCCGCTCTTAGTAAGTCAAGCGCTTCGTAAATCTTTAACTCCACTTTAACTCCTGTCATCTTGTTCAGTTTGGTACAAAATTGTGTTGGCCCTGTTTGAACCCCACATTTGACTGTCCATTGTTGTTGGGTTTTTTTGTAAGTGTAGTTTTACTAAAACCGTTCGGTTTCAAAGATCTGGTAGCATTTCTCGGCATGCAGACGGCTCGGGATTTCTCTCAGTACAGTTGCTGGCATTAAAAGGAAAAGGAAACATGGACCTGGTGTATTTACAGCATCTGTAGTTTATATCAGCGGTCCCCAAACTTTTGAGTGTCATGGCCCCCCTTACCCATGTCTGTGCCCCGCCCCCGCCTCCCTCCAGAGCTGGGGCCAGGAGTGGGGCTGTGGCTCTGGGGAGGGGGGGACACAGACAGGGGTAAGGGAGCCCAGGCTGGGGCCACAGTTGGGGGTGGGTCTGGGACCAGGAGCAGGTCCGCAGCTACAGGCCGAGGCTGGGGGTGGGGGCGGGAGCAGAGCCGCAGCCGGGCTGCGGTGGGTGCCAGCAGCCAGGCCCGTGGCCAGGTGCAGTTCCACTCCCGGCCTCGCCCCCAGCCTCGGCCTTGGCCCAGGAACAGTGCCGTGGCCATCGGCTGAGGCTGGCGTGGGGCTGGGAGCGGAGCTGCCCCGAGGCTGGGGATGGGGCCAGGAGCCAGGGATGCGGCTGGAGGCAGGACCAGAGCAGAACTGGGGGTGGGGAGAAGCTGGGTGGCGCTCCCTCCCTGTCCCTGTAGGGGCTGGCCCAGGCCCCGTCACACACACACACACCCCCGACGTTCCTCCACGTGCCCATTGGGGGGCACGCCCGACACTTTGGGGATCTCTGGTTTATATGGATGTAATCATTAAAATTAATACTTTTCCTCCAAAAGTGCTAATAGCTGGCCGCAGTGCCTATTGCAACTGCACAGGTAGGCTG